AAGGGCGATAGCTCGTTGCCCTGCACAATGCCTTGGCCAACATCAATGTCAATCACCTTGAAGAACTTGTCGACAATGCAGTGAGTAGTGGGTCGAGCATAGTGTCGTTCAAAGGCGCGCAAGAGGCCAGGGACCTTGTCGGCCACAATCTCGTGCAGCCGTGCTCGGTCGGTGTAGTTGAAGGCACTCTTGAAATCGAGGGAGAGCATGGTCCAGCCCGGGGTAGACTCACAGGCTTGAAGCTCACCAAAGGCCATGCCAACCGCAGCTGAAATGCCGTCCTTGACTCCGACGGCCAGCTCTGGACTGGCCTGTAGCAAGTGGGCAATATGGGGCTGCTGTTGCTCGAGCAGAGCGCGGTTGACAACCTTGTTGAAGATGGAATCCGTGCCCACGGGTCGAAACTTGCCGTTGGCTTTCTCCAGGATAGTGTAGTTGATGGAGCAAAGGGCATGTCGAATCGACTCGGGTACGGTGTTGTTGGCAATGTGGTGAAAGATCTTGTTCAAGGCAACCTGAGGACCTCCAGTCGCGGTGGTGGGGCCCTGAGGCGCGCCTCCATCAGAAGGAGCAGTCGGGTCGCTGGAAGAACCCTGGCGTGGGCCCAAGACTTGACTGAAGTGCTCCTTGATGCGGTAGATGGAGGCAAGAAGCTCACCAGACCAACCATAGGGGTCGGTGACACCCTTGGTGGCCGCCAACGCCTTGGGGAGCTCACCTTTGGTGAAGGACACGGTTGGGGAGCTCGCAGCCGTGGCTGGTGCCAGTGTAGACGTGGAGGCGGGTGTCGAAGCAATGTACGGGGTCAGCCCGGGCGGTACCAAGAGGTCGCGCACGGCCTGAACCTCAGAATTACCAATCACGGCACGAGCCTTGTCGGCATCAAATGCTTTGGCAATCTGACCTCGGTTCAGACGGTTCGTGACGTGGTTTGCCCAGGCTTCGTCCGCCAGGTCCGGGTCGCGGACGAGTGACCTGAGGCTCTGGTCGACTGCGTCGTTCGGGTGGGCGCCCGCGCCGGCGTTCAGCTGTCCTCGACGGCTCTGCTTGCGTGCGACTGCCTTGCGCATGGCGTCCACGACCCGACCTAGTTGCCCCGTCACAAGCCAACGGAGACGATCGTGAAACATATTGCGCAGGTCAATCGTAGACAGTGCGGTCGAGGGAGCAGACAACAACATGCTAGGCAAGGCCAAAATCAAAGCCCAGCACATCTCTCGCTCTTCAGCGGTATAGTCCGAGTGGACGGCAGACCAATACAGCTGGCT